TCTGGGGTGGTTAATTGATCCCAATTTAAAAAAGAAAAACACTTCCATACTTGTTTGTGATTTTAGCTTAAAACGCGACACAGCATGTTCATATGAATGGGGATTGGAAGGGAATACAGAAAATAAAAAACGAGAGAAATATTTTTTAGGTTCATGAGATTGTGGTCAATTTTTAAAAATTCTAATATTTTATTATAATTATCCAATAAATGAAAAATTATAGCAATAAAGTATATACACAGCATACAGTATTTGCTATGTACACAGAGTCTTAGCAACATATCATTTGTTCCAGAGGGACATCACTTAAATTACCTCTCGGTCAGCTGTGGGCCTCGTTGCCCATTAGTACACCTGATATGTATTCTTTCAGGCTACTACACCTAATGTGTATATTTTTTCTATTTACAGACACTGGGGGCTCTAAGTATTTCTTTTCTTTTTTCAGAAGTTCACAGGGAATCTGTTGTTTTGATATTTTCAGCCCCCTTTCTATCAACCAGAAAAGTTTTTAACCTAAATACCATAAAATTCCCTTCGTAAAGAAGTCAGGGGGTCAGAGGTGCTGAAAATTTGACCCGTTTATTCTCTTGCTTCCAGACAAAAATCACAGCTGAAGCGTGACAGATAAGTATCTGTTCAATTTGCCAAACTCCTCAGGGACAGCAGTTTCATGGCTGCCCTCAGAGATTAGCCTTCCTGTCAATAAATTCCTTGTAAATATTGGATACATTCTTCTTGCTCCAGTTTAAGGCTGTTTTCCTTCTGCAGGATTGACTGGAGATGTGGAACAGCTGGTCCGCATTACCCACATGTGACAATGCACATTGTTGTCCACCTCTGTCATCTCCGCTTTGGTTTTCTCTAGGCAGAATAATGTTAATGATCGAGACATTTCTTCACGGGTTTATGTACATCAATCTTTCAGCCCGACCCAGTTGGGAAGGGTTCCTCTTCTTAGTCTGTATCCAAATCAACTTTCTAGGTTGCTTTTGTTCAATTCAAGAGGTATTTATTTTACTTTATTTATTTATTTTATTCTTGCCTCTAATATTTTATTTTTATAACAAGACTTTCATGTATTTCTTTTGAGAGAGAAGGATTTTTTTTCCAGTAATTTTATTGGGATTATAATGGTTTATAACATTGTGTAATTTCGGCTATACATTATTGTTTATCAATTTCTGAATACACTTCATTGTGCTCACCCACCCAGTAGTCTAATTTTTATCCTTCACCATACATATGTACCCCTTTATCCCTTTCGCCCACCCTCCAACCCCCTCACCCTCTGGGAGCCACTAATCTGTTCTCTTTATCCATGTATTTATTATCTTCCACATATGAGTGAGATCATGCAGCATTTGTCTTTCTCTGACTTATTTCATGTAACATCATACCCTCTAGGTCCATCCATGTTGTTGCAAATCGGACGATTGTGTCTTATTTCATAGCTGAGTAGTCAATAGGTGTTTATTGAATGCTATGTGAGTCCCAAAGTTGCAGGTCATGAGTGGATAGTGCTTCATAAAGGACAGGGTCCCAGGCTATGTTTTTTGAAATATAACATGAAATGAAAAATTAAGGGGGCCAGCCCAGTGGCGTAGTGGTGAAGTTTGTGCACTGTGCTTGGGCGGCCCAGGATTCACGGGTTCGGATCGTGGGTACAGACCTACACACTGCTCATCAAGCCATGCTGTGGTGGCGTTCCACATACAAAGTAGAGGACAGATGGGCACAGATGTTAGCTCAGGGACAATCTTCCTCACCAAAACATAAAATAAAATAAAATAAAATAAATTAAGCTATTTAATTTCAAAAGTAGTAAGATGAGTTTAGGTTATAATTGGCTGCTGGGGATAAGCTTCCAACCCAGAGCCCTTCTGAGGCTTTGCATCTGGCTTTTGTGTCCCTGAGCGGCTGACATAGTAGGCCTCTCAATAGTGGCTTTGTGCCACTGGTGTCAGGCAGTTTGACTTGTTGCTGTGCGTGCTGGTCCTCGGGCACGTGCCCCTCAGATCAGAAGGGCCTGACAAAGAGGAGTGGCTGCTCAGTGAGCCACCCAGGAGCCTGTCACCTTTGGGGTCATCAAGGGACCTTGGTCTTGATGAAGGTGGCAAACACTAAGGCTCACACTTGGATCAGCTCCCTGCAAGAGGTCTCAGTGGCAGCAGCCAGCAGCTTCTCTGGCCCCTTCTGGTTCCCCAAGTTAAAAAGTGTAGCTGAGGAAAGACTGATGACTCAGGTTTTGAACTTTGAAAAGGGGAGGTTCTTGTGGTCCAGCTCTTGTATCAGAGATGCCAGGTGGCCACTTTTTAGTGGCAACTCAACCAGTGGCTATTCTATCTTTTCGATGTTTGTGAGAGCCACCTGCTAAAAGGTAAGTGGTCAGTAACATAACAGGTACTGTTTCAGATCTCGTTAATAAGATTCTGGCCTCACCCTTAATAGACTCAAATGAGCTAGAGATCTCCTGCTGATGCGCAGGTGGGAAATTTTTGATTTTTTTTTTTTTCCAACTTAAAATGTATGTGTAGATGGTATCTTTGGCCTTATTGAAGAAACTTCATTCCTGCCAGTACTTCCTTAACTTTAAAAGTCACTCTTGGAGGTTGTGGAGAAAAAGGAACCCTCATACACTGCTGGTGAGAATGCAAACTGCCATAGCCACTATGGAAAACAGTATGGAGATTCCTCAAAAAATTAAAAATAAAACTACCATACGATCCAGCTATCCCATTACTGGGTATCTATCCAAAGAGTTTGAAATCAACAATTCCAAAAGTCCCATGCACCCGAATGTTCATTGCAGCATTATTTACAATAGCCAAGACGTGGAAGCAACCTAAGTGCCCATCAACAGATGATTGGATAAAGAAGATGTGGTATATATACACAAAGGAATACTATTCAGCCGTAAAAAAATAACAAAATCGTCCCATTTGCAACAACGTGGATGGACCTTGAGAGAATTATGTTAAGTGAAATAAGCCTGATAGAGAAGGACAATCTCTTTATGACTCCACTCATATGAGGAATTTAAAAATGCAGACAAAGAGAACAGATTAGTGGCTACCAGGGGAAAGGTGGGGTGGGGGGTGGGCACAAAGGGTGAAGGGGTGCACTTACAACACGACTGACAAACAATAATGTACAACTGAAATTTCACAAGATTGTAACCTATCATTAACTCAATAAAAATTTTAAAAAAAAAGTCGCTCTTGAGCCTGGTGGCTCAGCAGTTAAGTTTGCACGTTCTGCTTCTACAGCCCAGGGTTTGCCCGTTCGGATCCCAGGTGCAGACCTACGCACTGCTTGGCAAGCCATGCTGTGGCAGGCATCCCACATATAAAGTAGAGGAAGAGGGGCATGGATATTAGCTCAGGGCCAGTCTTCCTCAGCAAAAAGAGGAGGATTGGCGGCAGATGTTGGCTCAGGGCTAATCTTCCTCAAAAAAAAAAAAAAAGCGTCACTCTTGAACTCTCCAAAGAAGCTATGTGAATGGTTAATAAGCCATGAAAAGATGCTCAATATCACTAGGCATTAGGGAAATGCAAATCAAAACCACAATAAAATATCAGCTCATACCTGTAGGATGGCCACTATTGAAAAAAAGAAAATAACAAGTGCTGGTGAAGATGTCCAGAAGTTAGAACCCTGTGCGCTGTTGGTGGGAATGTAAGATGGTGCAGCTGCTGTGGAAAACAGTAGGGTGGTTCCTCAAGAAATAAAAATAGAATTACCATATGATCCAGCAATTCCTTCTGGGTGTGTACCCAAAAGAATTGAAAGCTGGGTCTTGAAGAGTTATGTGTATGTACTCATGTTCATAGCAGCACTATTTACAATAGCCAGGAGGTGGAAAGCAATGTAAGTGTCCACTGACAGATGAATGGATAAACAAAATGTGGTAAATCCATATGATGGAATATTATTCAGCCTTGAAAAGGAAGGAAATTCTAACACATGCTACAGCATGGATGAATCTTGAAGACATTATGCTAAGAGAAATAAGACAGTCACCAAAAGACAAATGCTGTATGATTCTACTTACATGGGGTACCTGGAGTAGTCCAGTTCATGGAGACAGAAAATAGAATGGTGGTTGCCAGGGGTTGGGGAGATGGGGGAGAGAGGGATGGGGAGTTGCTGTTTAATAGCTGTAGTGTTAGTTTTGCATGACGGAGAGTTCTGGAGATTGATTGTATAACAATGTGAATGTGCTTAATGCTACTAACTGTACACTTTAAAATGGTGAAAATGGTAAACATTATGTAGTAAGTATTTTACCACAATTACAAATACATTTTTTTTTTTTAAATGAGGAAAAATGTCACCATTGACCCCTCACTGCCCTGCTCTACTATGCCTGCGGTGAAAACAAAGGCTTTGTGTCCTGCCCGTGAGCACTGCCAGATGGCAGCCCTCGAAACCTGTCCTGGTCCCTCAAAGGTGGGCCTCCCACCCCCACCCCTCATGCAGCAGGACCCAAACCTGTGCTTGAAAAAAACGTCCAATCTCATTCATGGGGTCAGCCTCTGTAACGTAAGTTGTTCTAGCCAACGACTGTTTCGCTGCGATGCTGCGTTTGGGGTTGCTCTTGCTGCTTAGTCAGATGAGAACAATGAGCTGTTTTTGTCGTGTCAGGATGATGCTCCTGCAGTCTCGTTGGAGTCTGAGAGTTGTTTCCCTAGGGGTGGTGACAGATGAGCCATGACTCATTCCAGCACTTTCACCTGCTCTCCCCTGACACAAAGGCCTCCCTTTGACTGCACACTGTGTGTTGAGCTAATGGCCTTTACAAGATCGGATGGGCAGTTCTGGATCTTCCAAACAACCCGGATGAATCAAGCAGTTCACAGACATTTCATTTATTATTTTGACAGTGATTCTGGACTCCAGTTGTTTCTTCAGATAATTTACATTAAACCTTAGACTTTACTCTTTGGGAGCTTGATGTCAAATGCTTGACAGAGTTTTCCTGTATTTCTGTTTTCCAGGATCATTTCATGGACTCACTTCCCTCACTGTTAACCATGCTGCCTTGCTCCCAGGACCACGGAAAGCCGACTGACCATTAATCTTGCTCAGAGCGCAAACTATACTGCAGGTACGTTCAGCTCACGTGAGTTTGGTTCATGTCAAGTTACATGACTGTGATTAAGGTGCTAAGTAAAGGTTTAATTATTTGGTCCAGTTATTTTGTTTTAAAATGGGTTTGATAACTGCCACCAAAGTCAATGCATTTGACTTTTGTTTTGTGGCTGTACATTCTTAAGTATAAAAGAATTAAAACTAAAAATCTACCCAATATAATTGGAAACATAACTGGAAACATCACCTTCCACTTGCCTCCAAAAGTGATATGTTGGTTAGAATGAAAAACTGAGGGTGGAGGGTTTGATCAAATTTTACTTTGAGTTTGACTTCACTAACAGACTCATTAAGCAAATTGGGGTTTTAAAGAGAATTAAAAGAATCTAACAATTTTTTCAGATTGTAACAAGTCAGCTTCAAACTTTTTTCTCTCATCATGTTCTAAAGTGAGGGCCCTTAAAGTCTTTGGAAAAGTTCTAGAGATTAGTTTTATTAAAATGTTTTTCTGCCCCAAATGAGAGCTTTTATTTTTTCCCTTTTTTTTTCATCTCACTCTAGTTTTTGAGAACTTCCAGTCCTTTTCTTTTGTGGTATTCCTACTTGGCGTGATATGTGAACGCTCCGGCAGAATATGGTAGCTGGAGTCATGTTATTATAAATGGGGTAGTTTTTAAGTAATAATTGCTTATATGGCGGTGTCGTATTAGCTCTTCCAGTAGTTTATGGGTAATGAAAATATATCTCTCTGGTCATTGAAATATCAATGTATTGGAGTGACAGAGTAAAGATACTTTTCCCTTATTTTTTCTTCAAGAATCATTGATTCAAAACCTCCCAACCCCAAGCCTGAAGGATGCCTTAAGCTGATTTTTATGCCTGTTCAATTTCTGAATTAACATCATACAACAAATTATGTGTTTACAGTAACTAGCATGTGAGTGTGTGATATTGTGTATCTGGTTGATGACCTGCATTGCAGGAGGAGAACCGATTCAGTAACTCTTGTTGCTACTTCTCTGAGTTGGTCAGGCACAGAAAGAAGTTGCTTGCTTCCTTTGTAACATGAAGAACATTTTTTTTTAGAAAGTTCTTTCATAACAGAATGTAATTTGGGTCATGACTCTTACTGACGCTACTGTTCTTAATTTAGGTTAAAATGGGGAACTCCGAGAGTCAGTACACCCTTCAAGGATCTAAAAATCATAGCCATACTATTACTGGTGCTAAGCAAAAGCCTTGCTCCCTGAAAATACGCAGCATTCATGCAAAAGATGACAAGTCGTTGCATGGATGGGGTCACGGAGGCAGCGGAGCAGGTTACAAGTCCAGGTCCCTGGCCCGAAGCTGCCTTTCTCACTTTAAGAGTAATCAGCCTTATGCATCGAGACTGGGTGGACCCACGTGCAAAGTCTCGAAAGGCAGTGTCTGCTCCAAGCACAGGACAAATGCCTCAGGAAGTGATTTCCAGGGCAGCAATGTTGCCTCCTCCTCCGAGAATGGCTTCCACTATGTCGGGCATGAACCGGCGGATAACCACGTGGCAGAGAACCAGGTGCCCTCCAGGGACTGCAATGGACATCTTCTCAACTGCTATGGCAGACACGAGAGCGTTGCATCCACCCCGCCCGGCGAGGACAGAAAGAGCCCCAGAGTGCTCATCAAGACGCTGGGCAAGTTGGACGGGTGTCTCCGGGTCGAGTTCCACAATGGTGACCACCACAGCCCAGGGCCCCCGGGGGACTCGGGCGGGCCCGTGCAGCTGCTGCGGTACTCGCCCACCCTGACCCCCGGAGCCGACTCCCCGCCCAGCACCCGCCTCTCCGCCACCGACTCGCACCCGCGCTCCAGCAAGGGCAGCTCCCTGAGCTCGGAGTCGTCCTGGTACGACTCGCCCTGGGGCCACGCTGGCGAGGTCGGCGAGGCCGAGGGCCCCTTCCTGGCCTCCGGCACCCCTGACCCCAGCCTCCATGGCTTCCCTCCTAGGGATGCCCAGAAGCCTTTCAACCAAAGCTCTTCCCTCTCCTCCCTCCGGGAACTCTACCCAGCTGCCACCCTGGGGAGCCTGTCCCCCTCCGCTGTCCGACTCTCCGATGAATACATCGGCGCGCACGCCAGCCTCAGCCACCGCGTCTCCTTCGCCTCCGACATTGATGTGCCCTCCAGAGTGGAGCACAGGGACCCGGGCCAGTACGCGTCCTTCACCCTCCCCTGCCGGAAGTCCAAAGCCTTGACAGAGGACACGTCCAAGAAGGACACTCTGAAAGCCAGAATGCGCCGGATCAGCGACTGGACTGGAAGCCTTTCCAGAAAGAAAAGGAAACTCCAAGTGAGTAAACCTTAGAGCCCGAGGGTGGATCCCCTTGTTTCCCCATCTGTAAAATGGATGTATTAGTTAGCAGAAGCTACTGTCGAGCGCTGTCCAGAGGCTTGAACGAGCTCGTGAAAGTGAAGGTTTTGCCTAAGACCTGGCAATCTTGTTTGCGGGTGTCGGTTTTATTTCTTTTGCTTCAGATGTGAATTTTCACTCAACCCACAACTTGTCTCTCTGATTCTGTGTTAATCTCGCCTCCCGTACTCTCGTATGAGTTCCGCAGGCTTTGGCCCAAGATGTGGCCAAACTGTTCTTAGAGAGTACAGCCTTAGAGAGAATTCCCCAAGGAATTGGTTACCTGAGAATTTTGCAAGACCTCATTCTTTTATTATTATTATTATTTGTTTGCGGTAACGTTGGTTTATAGCATTATATAACTTTCAGATGTACATCGTTATATTTCAGTTTCTGTGTAGATTACATCATGTTCATCTCCCAAAGACCAATTTCCATCCATCACCACACACATGTGCCTAATCACCCCTTTTGCCCTCCTCTCTCCCCACTTCCCCTCTGGTAACTAGCAATCCAATCTCTGTCTCTATGTGATTGTTTATTATTGTTTTTATCTTCTGCTTATGAGTGAGCTCATTCAGTGTTTGGCTTTCTCCCTCTGACTTACTTTGCTGAGTATAATACCCTCAGGGTCCATCCATGTTGTGATAAATGCTGGATTTCATTGTTTCTTGTGGTTGAGTAGTATACCATTGTGGATGTATGCTAAAGTCTAAACAGAAAGAACAAGAGGTAGATTGTTGTTATTTTGGGATGAGTAGCCTTCCTGAACTTGATGTTACTTTGGGGAAATTAAAATTCCTATATTTAAGTTGGTACATCAAAAATCAATTTGCTGATGTATGTGTATAATCTCACCACCTCCTCATGGGGCTAGCTACCAGTTTTGAAAACCTTTCATACCTAAGTACATGTAATAGCAAAAATATGATAATTCTGATAAAATAAGAATCACGATGATAATAATAATACTTTCAATAGGTCTGTGACGTTTGGATGGTTTGCCACCAGGACGAAAAGTAGCAGTTTGCCTTTTTAGGTAATTGGTGGCAATTGCTAGATTTTCGGTTTATTGCTGTTGTTTTTTTGTTTTGTTCTGTTTTTACTTTGAATGATTTATAGAAAAGAGATAGCTTTTTCTTTTTTTAACTTGCTTAATGTGTCATATTGTTGCAGGGAATTTGAGAGGGCAGTTGTCTCTAGTAGAATTGCATTTAACCATCCTAGATAGATATATAGATAGAAGATTTTTTGAAAGCTTTGGGGGTGGAAAATAATGTAAATTCCCTGAGCAGATTGATTCTATAAAACTTATCCTTAGTTATTGTCTTCTTGTGTATAAGGCATTCACCATCCCCTCCCATATTGTACTTCGTGGCCCCTTTCTGCTTCTTTACGTGGAGATAAAGAACAGATGATCATCATTCTGTTGCAGAACCATTCATATCCCTGAGTATAGTAATTTGCTTACTCCTTACTCATCACTTCTTCAGGCTAGACTCCTAAATAGAGATTTCTGTGACCTTTTTCTCTCAGCTCCCATTCCCCAAACAACTGATAGCAGTCGAGTATGATCGGAGAAATAGCTGCTACTTGCTCCAGGGCTGCAGTCCCACGCAGGCAACTTTCATATCTTTTTGATTCAAGTGTTACAGTGCTGACAACGTTCAGCTGTCGTCCGATACCCCTAATTGATGCTGGCATTGAGCCATTGAGCCGGTTGTTGAGCGTCTCGTATTTGCATGGAGTGTGTTTCTCATCTGTGTTTGTGGCCTGGCTCACCACGGCTCTGCGGAGTTTCATTCAAGTTCAGTTCAGTTCAAACACAAACCAGTTGCTGCTGTGTGTTGACCACGTTCTGCCCCATGCAGGCCCTCTCTGGCCAGCCCAGCCATGGGAAATTCTGTATCATCCAAAGACCTAACTCTGAATGATTTGTAATGATCCTTACTAGTGTGATCAGTGCGTGGGAACAAAGTTTGTGACACTTTACTGTAATAAGGCACCAACCGAATTCCTTTTCTCTTACACACACACACCCTTCTGTGAGCCAGCAGGGCTAAGGCTCAGAAAGTCTTACCGTGATGGGTAGACTTTTTAAAAAAGTGGCATAAAAAGAGCCACCTTTTCTTTATAGGGCCTTCAATTACTCTGGTGAGTTAGAACCTGAAAGCGGGTTAATCAGTGAGAAAACTTGCACAACAGAGAAAGGATATCACAGTAATCACAAAAAAGAAGGAGGGAGGGAGAGCGTGAGAATGGATACATGCTGGAGAGCACTGTGTGTTTATTCTGATAAACTCCTCATATTAATGTGGCTGTACTGTGACATGTGAGGCCTCACTCCTGTCCTGGGTAAACTTTCTGTTCTCTCAGTCAGGGTAAATTAGGTTATGCTGAGGTAATAACAAAAAGCCCTCAAATCTCTGAGGTTTAGCACAAGCAAAGTTTACATCTCACTCATGCTGCTCTCTGGTCGACGTTGTTTCTCTCTGGGAGCCCCGGTCCACGTCTGGTTACCAGGTTACCATCTGCGATACTGCAAGCCACTGTGGCAGTGGGAGAAGGAAAATCATGTTGGCTTTTCAAGCTTCCACTCACAAGTGACGTGTTTCGCTTCTGTTCACATTTATTGGCCAGAGCAAGTCACATGGCCATGCCCAGTTCCCAGGGAGGGAGGGAGCAGGAAGTGATGCTACCATGCGCCCTAGGGGAGGACCAGAAATATTCAGTGGGCAGCACACTCATGACTCCTGCAGAGTTTATTGCAGACTAGGTTTGGACCCAGAGCCCCTGACTTTCTGGCCCTTTTTAGACTCATTGATCTTTGCGGGCTGCAAAGTCACAGGGAATTTCCACAGAGGACTAATGGTCCTTACTCTGTAATGAAGGAAAATGGCATGTGAAGAATGACAAGGTGTGAATCTCATGCTTTTTCTTAGAAAGTGAGGAATGGTGATCAGAGTTTTCCTTTAGCTCCCCAGAAGGTGAGTGACATCTCTTGAGTCCGTCCCTACTCTTTGCCACAGTGTCCTAGTCATTAAGGTATATTATCCATTGTTTATGGTTGTCTGATTTCGGGGAGTTGGAAATCCAACTGCTCGTTCACGTGCATAACATGACACCTTAGTTTCACACCTATAACACAGTGATCAAGAAAGCCGGCTGAGCCTATTTAGAGATATTCATTCATTCATTCATTCATTCTTATTAGCCTGGAAATTTGTCACTGGTTATTAGGATTCAAGCTAGAATGCTTTAGAAATTTATTAGAGACTGGGAAAGTTCACGTCTAGATATAAGAATCAGTTATAAATACTGAAATGCAATCTTTTCCCATTTCTCGAAAAGGAAAACTTGTCTTGCCTTGCTGCAGTCATTTAAAAAGTTGAAACTACCATTTGAAGTCTCCCCCTTATGAGGAACAATGTCAAGTGTTTATAGGTCGCATTTAAGTCTGGCCCTTGAGTGGCTTTCTCTGGCGGGTTTTGCTGGTTTTGAAACATCCCATTTTAGCTCCTGCTGGGTATCAGAGGCAATCCCAGTGCTGGGGGCTGAGAGTCAGTCTTATTCATAGCTGAAACATTGTTAAAACTAGCTAAATGAGGAGTATTCCTTCACCTCCTAGGAGTTTTTGAAGAGCAACAGTGACAATTAAACAAATCTGAAGCTATTTTGAAAGTTTCCCCAGTGACTCACTGCATCTGGCGTGTTTGCTCTGTTCTTGCGTAAGCATCGGTTCATAAATAAATATGACTATGGGACATAGTGCAAACAGAAGCAGAAAATGATATTTTTATTAGTAATAGCTATGTTGGGGACTCAGCCATTTATAGCCCCTGGGTATTTGGAAACACTCTTCAGGTGATGATTTTCCTACAAAAGATAGCAAATAATTGCTACTTGATTTCTGGATGAAATTTCTGAAAAGAAAACCCCTATGCACAGTGGAATATTCAAAATAAGGCCTTTGGTCAGTGATCCTTGACCCAGTTTTCCCTCATTTTTATTTATGGATAAGGATGTATCACTGAAAGTTCACTACCAACTGAGTGTGTGTTGAGCATCTCGCTGCAGAGTTACCTTAATCTAAGCGCCAAGTGTGGAATGTTGGTGTCTCTTAAGTCGTAAATTAAGCACACTTTCTGCTGAAAATTTAGTTAACTGCTGTTTACTAAATGGTGTCTATGGAAGTCATTCTTCTTGAATGGCTAGTCTTCTAATCTAGACGTCAGAGGAAACCTCCCTGGTGTCAGCTCTCTGTGGCCTGTTGGATGTTTAGTGAATGTAGTCCTAATGAGGGCAGCGGTTATTATAGAAATATTAATTTTATATAGAGCTGCCTGTGTCTGATTTTGTGTTGGGATAAATGTTAAAGTAAAGAATCATGTCTTTGGTATCACCAGTGCTTAGAATAAAATAGGTATTTAAATAAAAGAATGTGAATGGATGAATAGTGTGTTCTTTTCATGAAAGAAATTCCCAAGTCAAGTAAAAAATAATAGTTTTGAAGAAAGCTACGGTTCCTAGCTCCTACCCTTGGTGGATACGGAATCCCAGGTGCATGGTTTTCACTATCTGAAGTGGGAAAATAAGATGCTGGAGATCCTTAAGTCTAAACCAGGGCAGGTGATGAGAGGCTGGACACTGTGTTTATCGTGGGGAGCAGGAGAAGTGTGTGAATAGCAACACTGAGTCCCTATGTCCCACCCACCTTGACCCTGGGACTGAGGGTTTTCTAATTAACTTTAAAATGATCCACAGGAAAAATGACTGAAAGAACATGAGTCCTTTCCCAGAAGATACTGAATCACAGTTAAGAAAGAAGTATCAGTCTAGAAATCCTCACTAGCGTGTTTTAAATATACTAGCTGAATTTTTGATGGTAAGTATAGGTTAGAGTTAGAATAGTCAGTGGTATTTTATTTACATTTTTAAGCCTTGACTTCACTGGCTATAAACTGGCTTGGGTAACACTGTTTCTACAATTCTTTCTGCTTTGGAGACTTGGTGATTAAAGATGCATTTTTGTTAAAAGAATCTTACTTTGCAAGATTAGCAAACAACAATATTACATGTATGCCCTGTAGGGAAGGGATGCTTTCGATATACGTAACCTCTGATGGGGGGTCATGTATGTTGCTCACAGGAGCCGAGGTCCAAGGAGGGCAGTGACTACTTTGACAGCCGCTCAGATGGACTGAATGCGGACATGCCGGGACCTTCCTGGGCGTCTGCCACGCTCTGGTCGGGGGGCTCGGCTCAGATCCTGTCCCAGAGAAGTGAATCTGCTCACGTGATTGGCAGCGATCCCCTCCGACAGAACATTTATGAGAATTTCATGCAAGAGTTGGAAATGAGCAGGACCAACACGGAGAACGTAGAAACATCCACAGAAACCGCCGAGTCCAGCAGCGAGTCCCTCAGCTCTTTGGAACAACTGGATCTGCTGTTTGAGAAGGAACAAGGGGTGGTCCGGAAAGCAGGATGGCTCTTCTTCAAACCCCTTGTCACTCTGCAGAAGGAAAGGAAGCTCGAGCTGGTGGCTCGGAGGAAGTGGAAGCAGTACTGGGTAACGCTTAAAGGTAAGTACGTTATTGACATGTGCAGGGCCACCGGAAATCCTTTCTCCACCTGTCCTCTTTCCTAGGAAATGCCAGTGACTCCAGTGCTAATTTGAGTGAATGTGAAGGGATTTGATACAGAATCTTCTGGCATGCTTTACAAATACTTTCTCAAACCTGTGTATTATGGCTTACTTAATATTCGTATATATTATTCATTCTAATAAATAATGATTGAATTTAATAGTTATTGCTTATTATTTTATAGGTATTTCTGGACCATTCCTTAATACTAAAAAAACCCCAAATAAGTAACCAAATGTGGTTTAGTTATTTGGAATGTAGATCTGGAATTTCATATTCTGTGCTTGTTCAGAATTCCGAAGAGGCCCTCCCCAGCCTGTGCAACTAAGAATTTCGTCTGGATTATTTGATTTGCATCATCCAACCTTTACACTGAGAGAGTCTAATTGTTAGCATTACAAACTAATACTGTTCTTTTTTTTATGGTAAAGGAAACAGGAATAAGGATGTGTTTTGTTAAGATGATCAACGTTTCTCACAAACATTGTCACCTAAAAATTATCAACTCCTCGCTCACTGTGGATGTATATTTTGGAAGCAATTTAAATGTCCTGTGAGAAAGAGCGAGGCTCTAAGTCAATACAGTGTTGATTTATACAGATGTAAAGATGCTTTATGCAGATGGAAACAGGAAGAGCCTCTGGCATTTCTGCACAACTTTCCTGTGACTCTTTGTCAGAGGAACTGAGGGTCGTGTTCAAAGTCAAACCTCATTATCGGGTGACACCCTTCCTTATCACGGGAGAAAGCAGAAATGGGAATGCATCTGCAGACAGTATGTGTGAAAGGCCCCGAGCCCTCTGTTCTGGCTCCTTCCTAGCTTCTTCTGTTTTTTTTTGTTTTGTTTTGTTTTCTTTTTTTTGAGGAAGATTAGCCCTGAGCTAACATCTGCTGCCAATCATCCTCTTTTTGCTGAGGAAGACTGGCCCTGAGCTCACATCTGTGCCCATCTTCCTCTACTTTATACGTGGGATGCCTGCCACAGTGGTGCCGTGTCCGTACCCAGGATCCGAACCGATGAACCCTGGGCCGCCAAAGTGGAATGTGCGAATTTAGCCGCTGCGCCACCAGGCCAGCCCCCTTTCTAGCTTCCTTTTGTACCCTATTGAGAAATTGTGAGCCCCTCCCCAGCCTTGGGGACCTGGTGTCATTTCTAAATTACCCATAAGCCCCTCTGGGACAGGTGCACCTGCAAAGTTCATCTTCAAGTAACATCTTTCACTAGGAAACTGGAGGATTTATAAAAGGCATCCCAGCATCCCACAGATATTGTAACCTTCCTTTCCAACTCTGGATTGAATCCTTGTGGTACATTGTGGCTGAGGAAGGCAAAAAGCTTACCTAGTTTTGGCATACTGGGGAGACAGTTTCTTACACTGAATGACAGAAGAGATTTGGAAAGTTGAAATAATGGGTTGAATCTAGCAAGATAAAATTGTGAAGGGATAAGTTATGCTTTAAGGTTTAATCGTCAAATAACTACCCAAGTACAGGATAGTGAGATGTGGCTGCAGAGTATGCAAGTAAAGAAGATTTGGGGGTTTGATTTGCGGGCCATTCAAAATGAGTTTCCAATGTGATGAGGCTAAAATAACAGTAAATGTGATTTAAGAAGTGAATGGGCTCTTTGGCGACGTCATTAGAGACGTCACGTGATCCGTAGCTACCTTGGTCTCTCCTTCCTCTGCCCTGGTCGGAGTTGGCCCTTTCTCTCCTTGGGGACATGATATTGTACGAGACTTGTTCGTAAACAAGAAAATGATTCTCACAAAGGTTCTACCTGAAACTGAGGAGGAGAGTGAAAATGTCCCCTCAGGGCAGCGAGCGTGGGAATCATTCAAGAGTCAACAGTCTGAAGCTGCCTCGTTGCATGATACTTAGAATGGATACACTCCACTCCATAATGTGTCATATATCTATTTTTTTTAAACCTGAAAATTTGTTTGTTAAAATTGATGCTTTGGGAAGTTGTTCTCTGCCTGTCTTAGGGCTTTGAAAACCCCCAGTGTACATCCCATGGTGGTAGGGGGCTGGTGATGGTGTGTGTGTGTGTGTTTGTGTGTCCGTATCCTACTTGAGAAGCAGGGCCATAGGTGACACCAAGGGTATTTAGAGCCATGTATATGGAGGACGGCATGGGATCTAGGAACATTCAGCCTGGAGAAAATAAGAACTGGGCTCAGTGGGCAACGGTTTTGTAGAAGAGACGCTGAATTCATCCTGGCTCTGTAGAAGTTAGGATGGGACTGATAGATGGAAGACAAGCTGATTCTGAGTTAATGTAGGAAACAACACAACTAGAGCCATGGGCAAGTAGAAAGACACTACCTTCCTGGGTCCCTGCTGCTGAAGACACTCGTGCAGAGCCACACTGCTGGAGGCCTCCTGGGGGAGAGTCAGGCAGGTGCCCCTTAAGGTGGGAAGAGTACAGCTCGAGGTTCCTGTGTTCCATCCTGGAAGCTAAGCCGGGAGCATCTGGCTGCCGACTTCAGGGGCGGGGGTGGTCCAGAGTTGCCTTTGACAATTGCAAGATCTAGTCCTGCCTGTGTCCTGCTGTCTCAGTGCTTGCTTGTGAAACACTTCAAGACCCATGGAGAAAGGGTGTTTAGTAAGTGTAAGTGTTATCAAGGCCACATTCCCTTGTTTCCTTTGCAGCCAAGGAGAGGCATGCGATAAAGATGTTTTTCCCAGCATAACCTTTTCCATGTGGTGTTCTACACCCCTTTGCTCTGGGAATCCTATATGTTGAGTTCAGCTTTCTTGACTTGGAAGCCAAATTGTAATGTTTGGACATAACTATTTGGTTTAATCTTAGTTAAAAACATATATGTGTATATATACACACATATACATTGAAGCAGAATTTTTAAATTATCCTTGAAGTATCTATGTAAATAAATTAGAAACAGTGTTCTGGAGAGAGCAGCTGTTAGCAAACCGTCTGCTATGTACCTACATCCAGTGGATAGGTATGCTAAGGGCACAAATGTTCCTTAGGGCTGAGAGGATGTAATAAATTTTGAACAAGGGTGATTCTGCTTTCCGTCTGTCTTTTCCAGGCAGTGGATTTTCGTGAGGTTCACAGGGGGCTTCCTGGGCGGAATAGTTGGTAAGGTCCTTGAGACATCCCTCAGAATGCACAACAGGTGACCTATGTCAGGAGAGGGGTTTAGAGAGTAATTTTAGGTGATGGTGGTTCTGCCCTGGGAGAGGCCTGGCACAGGGAATGGAGTGGTGAGTGTGAGTCAAGAGGGGGTCAGTGAAAAGGTGGCTTTAAGGGAAGACTAAGACTAATGACTCTCCTTCCGTGGGTGATACTGCTGCTAACAGGGCCTCTCCTGCTCTCGGGCTTCCCCTCCTGTTCCAGTCTGTACTCTCTCTCTGCTACTGTGGCAGGAACTTCCACTGTCAACCCTCCAAGCCAACACCAGCTCCTGGTGAGGACTGGGCAGGGCTGGTGACCACCACATGTGGGGGACAAGAGACTTCACTGACCTGAGTGCAGCCCCTTTCCGTCAGCCTCGGCACCCCACTGTTAGAGTCGCACATTAACGTAACCTGGATGTAACAGATTTACGATTGATCTCCTGTTCTTTTTTTTTTTGAGGAAGATTAGCCCTGAGCTAACTACTGCCAATCCTCCTCTTTTTGCTGAGGAAGACTGGCCCTGAGCTAACATCCATGGCCATCTTCCTCTACTTTATATGTGGGACGCCTACCATAGCATGGCTTTTGCCAAGAGGTGCCATGTCTGCACCCAGGATCCGAACTGGTGAACCCCGGGCTGCCGAGAAGCGGAACGTGCGAACTTAACCACTGTGCCACTGGGCTGGCCCCGATTTCCTGTTCTTTAAATTCGACAGCAACAGGTTCTGCATATTGTTTTACATCCTGGCCTCGTCTAGAACGAAATGTCCTGTTTTGGTTTCGCACTTCCACGGTAGAGCTGCAGTCTGTCGTAGATGGGGTGTTAGGTTTGGCAATGTCTTGGCATCCGCCCAAGGTTACGTTCATTTCCTTTGGATGGAATAATTCAAATCTCGCCCGCAGGGAGCACAGTGTTAGGGAAAGTGGGAAGTCAGTGTTAACCCACTGGAAAGAATTTGGATTTGGGTGGAGCCGGCATCTCTCTGTCACCTTTACTGTGATCCTTGGGTCCCCAGATCATGACATGTTGCATACGCAGCAATAGTGTCAGACAGGCCTTTCTTGATGGGAGCATTGTTTCTAAGTGCATCAGTTGTTGGACAAGAGACTAGCTCCGCCCTGCAGAAGCAGCTCTGGCCGTAAACCTCTTGCTACTTTTCCTTGTTCTAAGAGCCTCTCTCAGCCTTGGAGGAGCTCTGTTTGCAGGAGGAGAGATTGCTCCGTGCTTCTTAAGATCATAAAGTACCACCAAGGGAGAAAGAGCTGTCCTGGTAATGCTGTTTCTGAGGGCTGCGCAGGGGCATCTTTTTCTCCTGGCTTCTGTGCTGTGCTGGGTTCCATTATATAAACTTGTTTGTCCATGTTAAGATTTGCTTTTAAAGGAAGACGTGAAACTGGCAAGAATACGATGGTTTTTAAAACATTTAAACTTTTATGAATGAGGACTCATAACGTATCGGGGTAAAAAAGGCAGCAAGTGGGTGTCATTCATTTACAAAACAGGCGAAAGCCAGCTGGTGCTTCTTTACTGTCCATGTGAAAGGTTTTACAAAGCACAGGGATGGGGACCACAGCATTCATATTTGTATGCCAAAACGCAGCACACGAGAAGTGTTCAAAAATGTTTATTGGATGATGGTTTTAAGGGATATTCAACAAGAGAACGTACTTGTGAGCATTTAAGAATTTGCTTAAAAATTGCCTCTAATAATTATAAGGCATTCCTATCTACTTTTCAAAGCAGACCCTTATCACTTCTGCCTACAATACTTTTTAGCTTCTTAGGAGAAAGCTGGGTACTTGCAAGCATATGTAGCAGCATTTTTAGACTAATATGTTAGAATTCAGGGGTACTGAGTACCCTTTTTCTCTCCTAATCTACATCAGTCACATTATAGTAATATTTCCCATCACTGTGAGATACCAGAATTTCCTTTTGTGTTAAAGAGTTGTCTCATTCAGTTTTTGTGGGTTTTTAAAGATACATCCCTTACCTTCTCATTCCTTTCCTAGATCCTCAGGATGTGTGACAGGGACTTTATTTTGCTTCTCTCTTCCCAGGATGCACCCTGCTATTTTATGAGACCTACGGGAAGAATTCCACGGACCAGAGTAGCGCTCCTCGGTGCGCCCTGTTTGCAGAAGACAGCATCGTGCAGTCTGTCCCAGAACATCCCAAGAAGGAAAATGTCTTCTGCCTCAGCAACTCCTTTGGTGATGTCTACCTTTTCCAGGTACTTCCGAGCTTGCCTTCTAAATGTCAGGTTGAGGCGATGACTTGCATCCTATTAGGATGAGAAGAAACAGAATTAAAAGGCACAACTTAGCAGTGGAGTAGAGTAAAGCTTAGAGAGGCTTTGAATTGGGGCGTAAGCAAGAGAGTTGGCTTCTGCTAGCTGCCAGGTGGGGTGGGGCCAGGGCAAGTCCAGTCATTCGTACAGCACACGTTTCTCGGATGCCCATGAGGGGCCAAGCTGTGGCCCATGGGATGCTCTTCAGGATACGAAGAGAGAAAAGTCCTTATCTCTCTTCTGGAATAGCTCGTGATCTAGTGGGTGCAAGGTCTGCAATTCCCAGAGTGGAGGCTTTTTAAATGAAGCCTAGAGAATATGGACGGGAGAAGTGTAGGTTCTTCCCCAGAATTCCAGTGGAAGTGAAAGAAGCAGCTTTTCGGGAAGACTCTCCTGGACAAAGGCTATCAGGTCTCATTTTCCTATGGAAGTGGTCTTAGGACGTTAAGATTCAGGTTATCTACCGTTGGGATTCTCAGCAACTTTCTAGCAAGTGAGAGGCCGCAGAGCATGTTGGTGTGGGGTCAGGCGTGGGTGTGAATCCTGGCACTGTTGTTGAGTACCTCTGTCATCTTGGAGCGCTCCCTGAACCCCTCTGAGCTTCGATCCTTTAACTAATAGGACAATAATAGCTTCTGGGATTGCTTTAAGGGTAAATAATATAATGTGCATGCGTCAAGTGCTAAAGAAACTCTAACTATTATTGTTATTATTATTAATTAACTGAAAAGAGGTGGAGGTGATCGCCAGGAAGTGAATTGTGCTTCTGAAATGCCTTCCAGTCCAAACCCAGCACTGCGTGTACACATAATACGGGCTATAGATTATATCCAGCTGGAAAGTTATAGAAAACCCCATAGGTCCTGGGTTCAGGTCTGTGAAAAGTTGGTCCTGGATGGCCCCAGGGACCCTGTAGAACAGCATAGTGTTCTCCTGCTGACTTTGGGAATCCAGAATTCTCTGAAGTGTTCGCTGCAGCAGGATTTCCTGGCACCAGTACCAGGTAAACTCATTGGGCCTCTAGCCTTTACTGCTGTCCCCAAACTGACTTGACTTACAAGAATCAGGGCCTGAGATCTGATTTTCCTTCTCTTAACAGAAAAGCTGCTTAAACCTTCTATGATGCTTTAAAGCAAAGTGATGAATTGATGTTAATCTGAGTTATAGGGCAGGTAAATACATTAGATTCAATCTGCACGGACTTCTTAGGGGCAAGTGTGAAATGAATATTTTATGTTTCGATTCAGGTAAAATATCTTTAGTTTTAAGAAATTTTCCCAGTAGGTCCTATTGTATGATCCCAGAGGTCACTGGAGGATCGACCCCGTGGCTTGAATGTGTGTGGTTATTTCTGGACATCGGGAACTGAAAATGCTTTTCAGCCTGCTTGCCCATTCTGCTTTATTCAAATTTTCTTTATTGTTTTTAAGATAAAATATTTTTCTTATATGAAAATAGTGTATGGTTGTTGTGTTGGAAGTTACTGAAGAGTAGAAAAAGAAAAATCACTATCCTTATTCCCAATGTTAAAAGACAGCTATTTCAGTATTGCTCCCAATGTTTTTTATTGGTATTTTTCATAATTGCATCTATACCATAGATGAAATTTCATAAGCACTTTTCAAAATTTAACATTTTAGCTGTAGTATTTTCTCATTCTGTTAAAATTATGAAGCTAAGCCGCTTTTTAGAGAGGGGTGTAATGTAACACTCAGCCAATATATGCTGAGTTTCTTATTATTCCCTTGTTGTTGGCTTATGGCTTGACTCTAGTTTGTCTTGCCATTGTATTTGGGGCTACATGATTATTTTTGCTCTGCTCTCCATGTTCTCGCAGCCCCTCTGGAGTTGAGGAAGCTGAGAACCTGAGCTGAGTGGTCGTGTGTGTTTTCAAAATTAAACAGTTTTTACAAAGTGAAGGTACTTCTTGGGTTTTACACTTCAAAGCCCAGCCTGCCACTCTGGAGATTACTTTTGTGGTAAAACAGCTCCAAATAGGTTTTTTTCCTCCCACTGTGTTTAGGCCACTAGTCAGACAGACCTGGAAAACTGGGTCACTGCCATACATTCGGCATGCGCATCCCTTTTTGCAAAGAAGCGTGGGAAAGAGGACACCATTCGGCTACTGAAGAACCAGACCAAAAACCTCATTCAGAAGATAGATATGGACAGCAAGATGAAAAAGATGGCAGAGTTACAGCTGTCCGTGGTGAGCGACCCAAAGAACAGGAAAGCCATAGAAAACCAGGTACTATTTATTTATGTGAGTATTTTCTTCCATTGTTCGTATCAGTCGCAGCAAAAGTCTGAGTTTGAATGCAGACTTTTGTGGCATCGTTAATGTGATCTGCTCTGTAACCTTTGTTTGAGATAGATATGTATATATAGGAACAGATTGTGACCAAATCTTTGTTCCTAATATTGAGTAGTTTCTTCTTGCCTGGCTGATTCTCTCATATAATGTCACTTTCAGAACAAAATATCATAAAACCCCTAGAAGATTGGAGAGTCTAATGTGAAGGATGGCTTTGAAAGGAGTGGTTTGGTCTAACACAGCTGTTCCTAGGTCTGTGGATTCCAAAACCCAGCATTTTTTCTGTTTATAACAGATAAGGTGCTAAGGAAAAGTCTTTCTCTAGTGTAGTTCCAAATTCATATAACAATTAAACAGTGAGTTTTTGTGCTGTTTGCACTTTAGAGGAGAAGTAGCTTTTTTTAGTATTTATTTTCCTTTGCTCAGACAACCTAAACGCTTAGAGAAATATCAGTGACGTTTCTAGCATCCTTCTCTTCATAAATGCGTGATGAAAGTAACATCTTTGGAACACCAGTTAGGCGGTGGCTTGAAGGGCAGATTGAAGTGGGCAAAGGCATTGGGCAGTGGAATGACGCTGGTCTGCTTGTGCAGTTACAAGGGTCTGGTCCAGAGTGATGCAACAAGAGTTTAACAATTTCTATGGAAAATGTATTCCAGAGTGCATAATTTTCAATAATTCTACAGAATCTTAAAGAGCATATCCTACACTCCTGAACTGAACTATGCCCCAAACAGAATATGCCACTTATTTAAAGAGTACCTGCTGGCAGACAACAAGCTACAAAATAGATGTAAACAAAGGACTGAAAAGTAAGTTGCAACTGCCAAGGAGAATGTAGGGAGGTGGAAGGGCATTCGGGGTTTGATAAGAACACAGCTGCTGGGAGAAGGGCAGCCTCCAGGACCTCAGCTTGCGCTGTCTCTGCCCTCTGCCTGCTTCCCATTGAGAAGCCGCCCCCTGCTCACATCTGGGAAGAGCTCAGGTCCCGATCTCTCAGCTTCCTGCCTGTGTGGCATGTCAGGATGTGATGCTATGTCAAGGTTACGTGAGAAATCCAAAGCTTGAGGAAGAGGAGAAATGGTTATCCCAGTGTTTCCTCTGTGCCATGTCTCCCTTGTGGTTCTGAATTTCCAGGATCCAATCGCCACCGTGCTCTGTCTGTCATCTGAGATGCAACTCATGGATTCAAGTATCTCCGAGTGTTTGGGGCACCCCAAAAATCTCATTCTGATTGTAGAGGGAAAAAGTACAGTTTTAACTTTTACTGGCTTTCTGAGATTTAACTTTGAAGCCATACTTTAATCCTCTTGAAGGGAAACCCAACTTGGAGTTGTCAGGTCCTTATATATTGTCATATGTTTAGGTCCAGGCAGAGAAAAGGGAAATTTGGCAACATTAAGAAGCTCCTGGCTCGAGACCGGCCCGGTGGCACAGCAGTTAAGTGCGCATGTTCCACTTCAGTGGCCCGGGGTTCGCCAGTTCAGATCCCAGGTGCAGACATGGCACCACATGGCACACCATGCTGTGGTAGGCGTCCCACATAGAAAGTAGAGGAAGATGGGCACGGATGTTAGTTGAGGGCCAGTCTTCCTCAGCAAAAAGAGGAGGATTGGTGGCAGATGCTAGCTCAGGGCTAATCTTCCTCAAAAAAAACAAAAAAGAAGCTCCTGCCTCATCTTTTTTTGCCTCCTCTTTCCCTCTTTATGGCCACAAGAAGTCCAAGCAAACAGGTTTTTAAAAATGTTCATTAAGTGTAATTTTATTTCCTTGTCCATTGTTGGTAAATGCTTAATTTATGACGTCACAGTTGGTGCTGTTCTCTGCTTGGGAGGGGGGAATTACTGTCACATAAACCCCTACATGCATCCAAGGGTCTAGGATGGTCAGGTGGCCCGAAGAGAAGCTCTTTTAAAGCATTAGGGTAATTATTACTTGGGGCCCATTGTGCATTCTTTGACAGAATCATAACGGCAGTTATTTTAAGCACACCATCCTAATACTGCTAAATTTTCATTTCAGTTCTCCTCTCCCCCCGCCTTGGCCCTCACCCCTTCCCCTAACGCCCCCTCCCTCAGCCACCCCTTCCGCGCACACACTCACCTTCTCATATTACATTTGTGAGTTTCTGGTAAGAAACAATTTGGATTGACCTTTAGAAATTCCACCTGAAAATATTCTCCTCACCATGTAATTTAGTCCTGTTTTCCCAGACGGCTTTGCAGTGGGTGACGTGAATGGCATTTGCTGTGCCCGCCATCCTTAAAGCATTTGCCAGATGGTTGTAAAGGGAGCTGTTTGCTCTTTACTTGCACACACAAAATGTATGAAACATTAAGGAGGGAAACAGGCACATGCTTAGAATTACTTTTATGACATGGCCTTTGTCTAGAGAATGTTATGTGAAGCTACAAAGGCAGAGGTATTTACAAGTCACGACCAATAAGAACATGATGTTCCAAATAGCCCATAAGTGTAGAGAAGTTTTCTCGAAATGACCTTTTAAAAACTTCCTTAAAAGAGCAGAGCTTTATCCACTTACCATTTAAAAATCTCAACTGTTTTACATAAAATAAAATACTTGTTTTATTTATGTAGTGTGCTTTCCCCAAGAGCCTCAGATGTAGTCATTTATACCCTATAATAGCCTAACTTGCAGTCTCCATTACATCATGCAAGATAAAGTCTCTGGAACAGGTTTTCTGTGGCGTACTTGGGTGGAGAAGATCATGGTCAATGGCTTTTCCATATACAAAGACTCTACCACAATAATAACAGCCGAACTTCATACTGTTGTGTGATGACATGCTTTGCTCGAGGAGGACCATCATGTGGTCTTGTCCTAGGGCCTTTCGGGGATTCTGTGGGGCGGGATGACGCAACTTTCATCTGAGCATGTCCACTGCGGAGCAGACCCCGCAGCCAGTCCACATGTTGGATTCCTTTTGAAGTTCTGAGGGAGGAAGAGCTATAAATTAAGTCCAGTTAGTACTTTATTTGCCTGTCTGTTGATTATTTTAAACGCGTAAACAGGAACAAAAATCTCACCGCTCTTAGGGGGTCTTGGCCTCCTCCCGTATGGCTTTCCCAGCATCCTGACGCATTCTGTGCCTTTGTGTGTTTCTCACTTCCCGAGGTTAATTAGGCCTGAGAGGCCGGAGGCAGTGAGGATGGTGGAGATGATACAGAGGGAGGAGCCAGCGCTCGGTCGGTGGGCTTGGGACTGCTCTGGGTTTTGTGAACCATGGGCTTCATTTTAAATATTTACTTAAAGTTTTAAAATCTTGAAGAGGATGGATTGAATTTAGACAATTGGAAACTGTGGTAAAGGGAACAAAAGGAGCAAAGCCTTGAGGAGAATATGATATGGGGTGTTTGGGGAATAAAGTATTGGAGAGTAGAGTATTTGCGAAAGGGGTTTGAAGGAGACAAGGTCAGATTATGGAGGTGTTGGGCCAAGACTTGGGTTTCATTCAGCAGACAATGGGGAGAAGGTGGCAGTATTTTGGGCAGACGATCCACATTCACTTGAGTTCAGTGGGCATTTACTCAGTGAATACTCTGGGCCAGGCTCGTGTGCACAGACGGGGATTCATGAAGATGCTGTCTCGGCCTTCCTGCTGCTCTCACTCTAGCAGGTGGCAGAATGCTGAGGATGCAGTTTGAACATATATGATAAGTTCAGAGCAAATGATGTTCCAGAGTGTTGTGGAAGACTAGCAGGAAGTTTAGCTTCCTAAGTAGTCGTGGAAGACTTCCTGGAGGAGAGAGGTCTGAATTACTTCTTGAAAAATGAGGGGTTAATCAGGAAAGGAATGGAGAAGGGCCTTCCAGCCAAGAGACAGCCTGAGAAACGGCAGAACGCTCTGAAATGAGGCACTATACCCTGGCAGCTTGATTTTTCAGGCACATGATGGGTAGGTGGTGAGAGATGGAAGGATAGTACTGTCTTCTCTCTTCCCTGGATGCCAATTTTGCCTCAGATACATCCTCCGTACAAGGCTAGAGTGGTTTGTGTCTAAAAAGCAAATCTGATCATGTGATTGCCTGGTTTAAAATCCTTTAGTGGCTCCCCACTGCTTACAAGATAAAGTCCTGATAGTCTCTCCCCAGCTTCCCCTTTATCTGGCAACGCCAAACTTCCTGTAGGTTCCACTGCTTTCTTTGAGTTTTTCCTCAAGCAGAACGGACTCACCTAGGCCATGCACCCATGCACAGACGTGCCCCGTGCCCCCTCACCCCTGCGATCAGGCTCACCCCTCCTCATCTGTGACGAAGGATTTAAGGGTTACTTCCTCCAAGCAGCTGCCCGTGACTCCCCTGCCACTCATCCATCAGGGACCCCTGCTATACTCCCCTAATTCTCAGGGTCACTCTTTATCCCTGCTCTCATCATTTTGTAGTTACCTCCTTGTGTATAAGGTCGCTCTTGGTCTGAAGAGCTCCTAAAGGATCCATCACTCTTCCATCTCTGTACGCCTGGTGCTTTGCTCAGGTTGGTGACTGAATGCACCCACGTCCCCTTTCCTCTTTACTGGGGCACATTGGGTTCCTCTCTGTGTCGGTCCCCAGCCCAGCTCCTCCAGCTTTGCTCCCTCAGGCTTCCCTCCTTCATTCCCCAGCTCACAGGCCATCTCTTTTGCCTCCCTCCCCATCCTCGTGGGCCCTTAGTTTATTTCTCAGGTGTCCTCTCTCAGGCCAAGATCATATGTAATTTCACCATAACTCCAGGAGGTAAAGTTGTTGTGCCGCTCATTTGATGGAGGCGTGAATAGACCTGAGAGAGGTTAAGTGAATCTCTAAGGTCACACAGCTGGGAAGTGGCAGAGCTGGGATTTGAACACTGACCTGTGCTCCTCTACTGCCTCTCAATAAGACTTCTGTGAATCAGATTGTGCTTCGCTTGCTAGTTAACCACATAATGAATGGTTTT